AAGCCTCAGCCCTGCCTGCCATGGACATTCCAACAATTAAGTTAGGCCCATAGACCCTCCTACTTCCAAATCTCCCTTTCTTATGCACCTTCAGAGTAAATCTCAGAGGAGTAAGATATAACGAAACAAAGTGTATAGCAAAAACTAGAGAGCATAGGAATTTATTTTTATGTCAATTTTAAAACCCCTTCTCTAGGGCCAAAGTATGCTTGTATCTGTGTGACCATTTTATTCAAGATGTCAATACCATTTCATCAACACAAAAGTTATAAAATGAACACGTTTCCTAAATAACAGAGCACAAAGTCTATGTTAGTGCCTTTTAACAGCATTAGCCTATTACTATAGCTTGAGTATTTTCTCTGTGTATTCTAATCACCACATGATAACAGGGGACCTAGAGCTATTGTTGCTTCTAAAAGCCTAGAAACAAACCACTGGTCTCTACTCTGTGTTGCTGTGAGCCTGGGTTGGGTTAAGTTTAACCCAAGTTTCCAAGGCACTTGTGGTCTAGCCGGGTATTGGTAGGTCGACATCACGACACCATGATAGATGTCTGTGAAAACACCTGTGAGCCAGTTTCCACCTTCAGACAGCTTTATTAACCCATCCGTTCGCTCACACGAATGAAATCATTCCCCTATAAACTACAAATGGCTATCACCTTAAACGACAGCACGGCAAATGAGATGTTCAACTTGAAAGGGTATTTGTGCACCCCCTGGGGAAATGCTGCTGCCAGTGTAAGCAGAACCAAGAGCAAGCTGAAAAGAACCACTTTCGGGCTCTGTCAAATGAAACCTACAACTGACTGACAGTAGTAAACGGAACAGCCTATCTCTGTGATCGAGATGATCGCAATGTATCTGGAACAGCCAACAATATCCATTTGTACATTGTAAATGTGAACAGCATTTCTTTATACATGACTGAGGTGAGAGAGAAAAAAAAGCAGCCGCTGGACTCCTTTGTTTTCAATAGCATGTCTTTCTTGTTAATGTATTTAAATATCCTTACTCAGGACAACCATTCAAAAGCCCTGGCAGTGTCACTAACAGTTAGACCTAAGGGAAGTGCTCATATCATTTAGAACTACCCAAACACCTGAGTTGGAGGGAAAGTGCTTCAGAAGCACGGTGATTGCCACACATGACAAGTTTATCACTTTACAGTTTGACCAAAATTTACCCAGCCTGGCTTCATACCTACCCCCATCTTCTGCTGACTGAACCCACCAGGTCATCCCAGTGAAACTCAGATATGAACAACAGCTTGGCAAAACAAGTAGGGAAGGATTATTTGGAATTCCAACAAAGCAGTTCTTAACTTTGAGCTCATACAGAGCAGAAGGAGAAATAGACTCTAAAAGACCCATGAATCTGAATGGGTGGGGACATCTGTCATCTATTTTTAGTAACATCTAGCCAAAAATAATATTCTTTGAAATATAAATGCAAGAGCTCAACCATAGTAGGGTTATCTGTGTCTACAGCTTCATCATATAGTCTACTTACATTTCAGTTTCTCATTGCAGTGATGCACATGTTGGGGGCTATATGTACTGTTTATCCAGCTTTTAAATGATCAATTGAATTCTGCAAACCTAGATTCTGTTATGAGAAGAATGCATGCTATTGCGTGCAACATTTTAAACTGTTGTGTAACAACATTGCAAGGTGGTGGGATCTTTCCTTTTTATTTTAAATTGCACATTTAAATCACTGTTCTCAGGGAAGATAGAGAGGTTTTACCACACTGCCAATCATATTACGAGAGGTTAAGAAACTTTAAAGCTATTTCTTTTGTAGTTACCAATGGTTAGACTTCTATGTGATTTTGATACATGTGCTACCTATGTGAGTTTTTCCTCAAGGACTTTGAAGATACTTGAATTCATAGGAGCAAGACACACAAGAAACAAAATATCTTCTTCTAGGTTCTTCCATGCCAATTGCCCTCTGTGCTTCATGACAAATTTGAGAGGGTTGGAGGAAGTGTTTGGGTTTTTTGGGGGGGAGGGGGTGTATTTATTTTGTTTGCTAAGACAGATATCCTCTATACTTCATTCCAAGTAACGCATTAAGAGTTACTCCCTGCAGATGGTCAAACACCAAGAACACAAAATACATTCAATTGTATGTCTTAGAAAAAGAAAAGAAACTTCCTGGTATATACTGTGTGTAACTATCCTACTTCTAGCTGCTCCAGTGCCGTGCTCACAGACTAAAGCCACCAACCTCGCCTTTAGGAACTCCTTCTTCCCTATATGTTCAGAGAAGAAAACTGCGGGTCTTTAAGCTGCCTAACTATGTCCAAGAATTCTCCAGTTATTGCTTATAATGCATTTTGAGATTTCCAAATGACGAGTGTTATATAATCATAAAACAGCAACACACAGGAAAAAGACTTTTGTCAAGGTAGTGAAACCTTGATTCTTATACTCCAGTTAGCCTCAGACTAAATACATAGGCATTAACTTTGTTGAAATCGATTCCAGCACCTCATACTTATACACTCTATTTATTCCCACTCATGTTGGTTACTACTAATGTCTGGCTAACACTCCACTCAGCTTTGTAGACGGAAGTTTCTGTCCTGCCTGGTCTCACAGTTATTCAATCGCAAAGAAATATACAGAGGCTTATATTAATTATAAACCATTTGGCCTATTAGCTCAGGCTTATTATTAACTAACTCTTACAACTTAAATTAACCCATAATATTTGTCTATGTTTAGCCACGTGGTGTGGTACCTTTTATCAGTGAGGCATTCTTATCTTGCTTCCTCTGTGTCTACCTGTTGACTACATCTCTGCCCTTCTCTTCTCAGAATTCTCCTAGTCTGATTGCCCTGCCTATACTTCCTTCCTCTCTACTGCCCAAGCAGCATTTTATTAAACAATACAAGTGACAAATCTTTACAGTGTACAAGAGCATTATCTCACAGCACAGCTTCACTGTTGCCATTCTCAAATTTTCACTGAAGCCTCTATTAAGAGAGACCCCCTTATTGCTTCTCGAGTTAATATACTGAAGGAAAGCCCTGTTTGTCCAGCTTATATATGTTGTAGGAGCCCGCTTGTTCGTTTCCCAGCTGCCCAGACTCCCAAAATAATCACACAAAACTATATTAATTCAACACTGCTTGACCTATTAGCTTATACATATTTTTTAGCTCACTCTTAGCTCTTAAATTAACCCATTTTTATTATTTTATATTTTACTATGGTGTTCGTGGCCTACCAGCAAGGTAACAACTAATGGCTTCTGTCTTTCTTCTCTGGTGGCTCCATGGCATTTCTAGACTCTTCTTTCTCCCAGCATTTAGATTAGTTTTCCCCTCTTAGCTCTAGTCTACCCTATGACCAATAAAAACATCCCATATACAGAAGATCTTCCCACACCAGGTATAATACACCCTAACGTCCCAACAGAAGACTTCTGAGCGAGTGATAACTAAAACACCTCCATGCTAACAAGCGTCTTAAAAATCTTACAACTTCTTATAGAAAAAAAGTATCAACTAGATACCGTAACTGGGAAGGTAACACAGTAACTTCCCATGGTCATAGGACACTTAGATACCTCAGAGGACCAACTGAATCCACAGATAGTCAAGCATGCTTTTATCACCCACGCAACTCAAAATAGCCAACCCTGAAATCATGCCAGCAGGAATTCAACACAAGCAGTAATTAACGCATTCTGAAGAAACAAAACAAAAACAAAACATTCTCCTACAGTCAATTAAATACATTCAAGTCAATTATTTGAACAATTCCTGCCAGTATGCAATTCAAACTTTCACTTCAAAAGAATCTGCTTACAGGCCTACTAATTGCCTCTAGATATTAGGAAGCCAGGGGTTATGGTGTATGAAGGAACTTCTCTTACACCAGAGACTAATATGAGAAAGATAAAACTAGACACCTGTCTTAGTTTATTTTTTCTATTGGTAGGATAAAACCAATAGAATTTCTATTGGTAGGGGAAAAGTGATGGAGGAAGGTAATTAGTTAATTATAATAAACCAACTGCTTGGCCTCATAGCTTAGAACATAGGTGGGTGGAATAAACAGAATAGGATGCTGGGCGGAAGAGGAAGTGAGGTCAGACTCTGCTCTGCTCCCGGAGAGACTCTGCGCTCTGGAGCAGAGACGCCATGCTCAGCTCTCCCAGATAGACGCAATAGCTCTGCTCTCTGGAGCAGAGACACCATGATGGACGGAGGCTAGAATCTTCCCGGTAAGCGCACCTTGGGGTGCTTACACACATCATTAGAAATGGGCTAGTCCAGGTGCGAGAATTAGCCTGTAAGGGCTAGAGTTCATGGGCCAAGCAGTTCTTAAATGAATACAGTTTGTGTGTTGTTATTTCGGGCATGAGCTAGCCAAGCGGCCGGGGTGTTGGGGACGCAGCCCCGCCGCTCATATTACAACAGAAAAGGATCTATCTTAGATCACAGTTCCATAGTATAGTGCATCATCATAAGGAGTTAAAATTAGGAGCCTGAAGCAGCAGATGACCTTAGGTCCATGATTGGAAGGCCAAGAGTGATGAGTGTGATGCTGTTGACTCAGTTTATGCAATCGAAGATCTAAGCTAGGAAATGGTGCCACCCACAGTGGGCCGGTCTATCTGTCTTTCTTAAAGTAATAAAGTTGTTCACCACAGAAAAACCCAGAGGTCTGTCTCCAAAAGATTGTAGCTTCTGTTGAGCTGACCATCACCAATCCCAAGCAAGGATTCTATGGGCAGTATTGTTTTCATACATACAGGAGAAGAAAAAAAAAACATAAACTGAGCTTCTGAAGACTCACATTAATACATGAAAAAGTTCAAAATATACATATTGGAGGGCCTCAAAGTTTAGACACAAGTTTAATAGTATAAAAATGTCCTGCCAGCTCACAGCCATTGCAGTACATTGAGCTCCATAGAGACAGCGCTGGGGCAAGCGAGAGCCGGACGGGCACTGGGCGACTCTGTGCCTCGCGAACGAAAATCAACTAAACATGGGCAAAGGAGATCCTAAGAAGCCGAGAGGCAAAATGTCCTCGTATGCATTCTTTGTGCAAACCTGCCGGGAGGAACACAAGAAGAAGCACCCGGATGCTTCTGTCAACTTCTCAGAGTTCTCCAAGAAGTGCTCAGAAAGGTGGAAGACCATGTCTGCTAAAGAAAAGGGGAAATTTGAAGACATGGCCAAGGCTGACAAGGCTCGTTATGAAAGAGAAATGAAAACCTACATCCCCCCCAAAGGGGAGACCAAAAAGAAGTTCAAGGACCCCAATGCACCCAAGAGGCCTCCTTCGGCCTTCTTCTTGTTCTGTTCTGAGTATCGCCCCAAAATCAAAGGAGAACACCCTGGCTTATCCATTGGTGATGTTGCAAAGAAACTGGGAGAGATGTGGAACAACACTGCTGCAGATGACAAGCAGCCCTACGAAAAGAAGGCTGCCAAGCTGAAGGAGAAGTACGAAAAGGATATTGCTGCTTACAGAGCTAAAGGAAAACCCGATGCAGCAAAAAAGGGGGTGGTCAAGGCGGAAAAGAGCAAGAAAAAGAAGGAAGAGGAAGATGATGAGGAAGACGAAGAGGATGAAGAGGAGGAGGAAGAAGAGGAAGATGAAGATGAGGAAGAAGATGATGATGATGAATAAGTTGGTTCTAGCGCAGTTTTTTTTCTTGTCTATAAAGCATTTAACCCCCCTGTACACAACTCACTCCTTTTAAAGAAAAAAAAATTGAAATGTAAGGCTGTGTAAGATTTGTTTTTAAACTGTACAGTGTCTTTTTTTGTATAGTTAACACACTACCGAATGTGTCTTTAGATAGCCCTGTCCTAGTGGTATTTTCAGTAGCCACTAACCTTGCCTGGTACAGTCTGGGGGTTGTAAATTGGCAGGGAAATTTAAAGCAGGTTCTTGTTGGTGCACAGCACAAATTAGTTATATATGGGGACGGTAGTTTTTTTTTGTTTTTTGTTTTTGTTTTTTTTTTTCATCTTCAGTTGTCTCTGATGCAGCTTATACGAAGATAATTGTTGTTCTGTTAACTGAATACCACTCTGTAATTGCAAAAAAAAAAAATTGCAGCTGTTTTGTTGACATTCTGAATGCTTCTAAGTAAATACAATTTTTTTATTAGTAAAAAAAAAATGTCCTGCCAGAACTCATACTGAAGGAGTCTTCTACTTCTGTCTTTAGTATGCAATATCACCAGTAACTAAATCAGAAGTTTCACTGTATCCTCTCCTCATCACCTTCCAATAATATTCTTCTCTCCATGGATGCAATGCTACAGTAAAATCATTTAGGACATAATTGTCAGGTTATTTACTTAAAGTGTATGCATGTATTGAATGCAAAATTATTTATACAACAAATGCTGGAACTGATATACTATGGGGGTCACATAGATTTACATAGTTATGCCTACCATGGATGAGTATGAAAGGAAAGAAAACTATATAGATAATTATAATCTAAGATGACATATATTATATATCAAATTTATATACGCATCTAAATGTTTCTATAAACTTACAGGGCACTGTTACAATAAAGCTCAGGCTGTAGATTTCCTGAGTGGTGTCACTGAGCAGCCGTAGATAATACTGCTAATGTTCTGGCTCTTTAAGAGACAAGCCACACCCACTCCCTTCCTGTTTGCAGCCTCTGCCCCCACTCTCTCTCTTCCTGTCTCCTCTCTCAGAAAGGCACCCTCTCTCCCTCTTTCTATTTCTCTCTCTCTCTCTCCCCTCTCTCTCTCTCTCTCTCTCTCTCTCTCTCTCTCTCTCTCTCTCCCTCCTTTTTCCTTCCCCTCCATAACCCATCTAATAAATGTCTAACTTTACTCTGTATGGTGTGTTTATCCGCCTCTCTCTCCCGCAGGCCACAGTCACATGGAGAGTGTCTTGTGCACCATCCCCACTCAGGACTGGCAGCTTTCAGGACCCCAGCAGCTTGCAGCAAACCCATCTGTATAGTGTGTCTATCTGTCTGTCCCTTGTCCACCTGATGCCCACATGGCTAGCCGCTGGGGATGCCCAGGGACAAGCCATTTTTGGAGACCTGCTGCGTGGTGCACCTGGGCCTTGCCCTGGGACTGGCTGCTCTTGGGACCCACTGTCCTCTGCCTGCCAGGCAGCTCACAAATCCATTACACACAGTAACAGAAATGAAGCTACATGCAATGTAGGACCATCAGGTGCATGTACCATGAAAGAAAAGGGTTCCCTCCTAGCGTGTGTCTAGCTGTATCTCTGAACCCCTCAACGGATCTAAATCAGTGTACAATGAGAAAAGTATTCATTCTTATCTGTATCTGAGAAAGGCCAAGTGCCACCATGAATCAGCCCAAACTTCACCCAGAAAAATATTTGTTGTGTCAGTGGGCAGACATACAAAGCAAAGTCCACTTAGTTGTTGATTGTTCTTGCCATCTTTTGCATCTCTAAGTCCTAAGAACTCTGTTAAAATAAAGGTTGGGAGGCTGATCCAATACCCCATTCCATCAATCGGACCCAAGTCCCACTCGGCCCCCAAGCCATCCTATCACCTCCTATTACCCCCCACATCTCCAAACCCACCCCTCACAACACCCCACTCCCTGCAATATCAACACTCTCTAGGTCCTCCATACTGGGGCAAAACCCAGGCCCCTCTCCCACCTGCCACAGCCACTCCCGTCAGCTAGCAGGCAAGTTTCCTTAGGCTGCACCCCAGCCCATCAATCAGATCCTGTAAGTCCCACTCTGCCCCCAAACCCTTTTATCTGCCCCCCCCCCCAGCAACGTCAAAGAAGCACTAAAACACAGACTGAAAATTCAGAGAGAGGACAAAGGGGTGAGAGACCACCCACCTGGCGGGACTCTCCACTCTCTAGGCCCTCCATTACTGGGTAAAACCCTGGGCCCCTCTCCCACCTACCTCAGCTTCTCCAGCCAACCAGTAGGCAATCTTCCTACAGGTAGGCTGCTCCAATACCTCCAACCCATTGATGGAACCATGAAAGCATCAAGTCCCACTGCACCCCAACATCTTCTTATCTCCCCTGCAAACTCAGAAGAACTGTGAAACACAAGTTGCAACTAAACATTGAGAACCAAGATAGAGGATCAAGAGAGAAACTCTGAAGCACAGGCTGGGACAGCACAGAGTGGAACAAGAGAGCAGACCTAGAGAGCAGGCTAACAGAGACCTCAGTGGCTCCTTGAGACCCAGACCGTAACAGTACAGAGCAGACCAAGAACAGTACCCAAAGACACAGACAGCCACTGCAAGGATTGGACCAAGAGACAAAGACACTGTCAGCACCAATTGGAGAAAAAGATGGGTAGAAGCCAATGCAAGAATTCCTTCAACAACCTAAAAAACAAAATGGTAACACCAGAGCCAGTGGTTGAATAACAGGAAAACTTGAGGATGATGGAGACCATTTAAAAGGAAGTAAAAATTTTCTGTGAAGAAATGGAGGAAAAGACAAGCAAAATATGGGGAAAAAAATCATTAAATCTCTCAAAGAAACTCAAGAAAACCATGAAAAAACAAACAGGTGAATCAAACAGTTCAAGACATGAAGACTGAAATAGAGGCAATAAAGAAAACACAAACCAAGGGAACTCTGGATATGGAAAATCTGAGCAAATGAACAGGAACTACAGAGGCAAGCATAACAACAGGATACAAGAAATGGGAGAGAGAATCTCAGGTGTTGAAGATACTTTAGAGGAAATAGATTTATTGGTCAAAGAAAACATTAACTACAACAATTTCTTAACACAAAACATCCAGGAAATCTGGGACAACATGAAAAGACCAAACCTAAGAATAATAGAGATAGAAGAAAAAGAACTCCAGTTCAAAGGCACAAAAAAATATATTCAACAAAATCAGAGAAGAAAACTTTCCCAACCTAAAGAGGGATATCCCTATGAAGATAAAAGAAGCTTACAGAACACCAAATACACTGGATCAAAAAAAAAAAAAAGGGCCCCTCACTGGTTTAGGAGGTCCTTCTGTCTATGTGTTGCTTTCATTGGTTTAATAAAGAAACTGCCTTGGCCATTTGATAGGGCTGAACTTAGATAGGTGGAGTAGACAGAACTGAATGCTGGGAAGTGTGGCAGAACACTATAGATCTCCCGCCTGGGATGAATGCTGGTTAGAATCTTGCCAGTAAGCAACAGTTATGTGGCAATACACAGATTAATGGAAATGGGTTAAATTAAGATGTAAAAATTAGCCAATAAGAAGTTAGAGCTAATGAGCCAGGGGGTGTTTAAATGAATACAGTTTCTGTGTGGTTATTTCGGGGGTTAAGCTAGTCAAGCAACCGGGATGAAAAGCAGGCCCTCTCCTCCTCCTACAACACCTCACCATATAATAATCAAAATTCAAAACATAAAGGAAGACCTATCAAAATTACACCTGACTAATCAATAAAAACCATGAAAGCCAGAAGGTCCTAGAATGATGTGATCCAGACAATAAGAGACCACGAATGCAAACCCAGATTGCTATACCCAGCAAAGCTTTTAATCACCATTGATGGAGAAAACAAGATATTCCATGACAAAAACAGATTTAAACAATACTTATCCACAAATCCAGCACTATAGAAAGTACTAGAAGGAAAACTCCAATACAAGGAAGCTAATTGCACCCACAAAAACACGATAATGGATAACCTCACACCAGCAAAACCTAAAGAAGGGACACACAAATAACAGGAATTAACAACCATTAGTCATTAATATCTTTTAATATCAATGGACTCAATTCACCTATAAAAAGACACAGACTAAGAGAATGGATATGAAAACAGTATCCAGCTTTCTGCTGTATACAAGAAACACACCTCAACCTCAAAGACAGACATTACATCAGAGTAAAGGATTGGGAAAAAAAAATTTCCAATCAAATGGAACTAAGAAATAAGCAGGTGTAGCTATTCTAATAGCTAACAAAATAGGCTTCAAACTAAAATTAATCAGAAGCGATGGAGAAGGACATTTCATATTCACTACAGGAATAATCCATTAAGATGAAGTCTCAATCCTAAACATATCTGCTCCAAATATAAGAGCGCCCACATACGTAACGAAATATTACTAAAGCTTAACACACACATCAAACCCCACACACTAATAGAAGGAGATTTTATCTTTTCTCTCTCTCCACAATGGACAGGTCAACTAGATAGAAACTTAACAGAGAAATAAGAGAACTTGTATGCCATGACTCAAATGGACTGAACAGACATCTACAGAACATTCCACCCAGACACAAAAGAATATACTTTCTTTTCAGCATCTCTTGCAACCTTCTCTTAAATTAATCACATGCTCAGTAACAAAGCAAACCTCAACAGGTACAAAAATAGGAATGACCCCCTATATGTTATCAGATCACCATTATTTAAAGTTAGAATTTAACAACAACACTAATTGCAGAAAGCCTACAAACTCATGGAAATTGTGCAGTGCCCAATTAAACCACCCCTGGGTCAAAGAAGAAATAAAGAAAGAAATTAACAACGTTCCAGAATTTAATGAAAATGAAGGCACAAGGTATCACGCATAAGATAATATAAAAGCAGTACTAAGAGAAAAAGTTCATGGCACTACTTGCCCATATAAAGAAAGTGGAAATATCTACATTTACCATCACACCTGAAAGTTCTAGAACAAAAAGAATCAGACTCGCCCAGGAGGATTAGATGACAGGAAATAATCAAATTGAGGGCTGAAAG